CTACATTGTAAGAAGTATTATGGGTCAGTATCATTTCACCTCAAAATCAGTCGAATATGGAAAACGAAATGAATCTGTTGCTCGAGAGAAATATGCTGATCACATGACAAGTTGTCATCCTTCATTTAAGTGTTCAGAGACAGGAATCTATGTTTACAAAGATTTCCCTTTCTTCGCTGCATCCCCTGATGGCATTTCTGAATGCAAGTGTTGTAGAAAAGGACTTGTTGAAATTAAATGCCCTTACAGTTCTAGAAATGAAACATCTCAGGTTGCTATGTCAAAAAATTCATCATGTGCAATTGTCAATGGAAATTATGAATTGAAAAAGAATCTGTCTTCCCCATTTTATGTCCAAATGCTTGGTCAAATGGCAGTATGCAGGTTTTCGCATTGTGATTTTGTTTTGTATACTCAAAAAGATATCTATGTAGAGAGAATTCATTTCTCAAAAGCAAATTGGAAATTGTTATTTGCTAAGCTTAAAAGATTTTATGTGCAGTACGTTTTGCCAAACTTAGTTTGAGTATATCATGTACATGAATGTATCTACATCACATGAATATACCATGAATTAGGCTAAAATTAAAAATATGTTTGTTGTTGCCATTTACCGACCAAGATTTTAAGGAATCGGTTAGTAATCAGAGAAAAATATTCCTATTTTTTTTTCTTCTTGACTTCAAATTAAATTACATGTACTATTAAAAAAAATCAATATATTTATGTACATATTCTTTGTTATTGGAACTCATGCTTCATGAAACAAAATGAACTAATACATTTGGAAATTTTTATTGACAATAAAAAAATTTGTAATTGAAAAGTGAAGTAAAATATTTTGTGTCGGGCTACTTTTCATAAGTCGATAGGTTAAGGACAAACAAACACAATTTTAATATTTGGCCTTAGTCAGGTACCTTGACTATTGTAGTTGTAATACTTTTCAGAATTGAAGGTGATGTATGTCAGATCAACTCATTTTGAATATTTTTTGTTCTGTCATAAGAAATTTTTAAAGTTGAATTTTTAAAGTTGTTAGAATTTATTTATTCACTCCATTTTACTTCATTATTAAAGTTGTTAGAATTTATTTATTCACTCCATTTTACTTCATTGTTAAAGTTGTTAGAATTTATTTATTCACTCCAATTTACTTCATTATTTATATATTAACATGTTCCAAACAATATTTTAATGATATTAAAACAACTCTAGATACTTTGACTGACTTCATTTTTGTATTCAATGACAATATAAGTACAAAATTGGCGTGATTCAGATTCATTGAAGTTGATAAAGGTATATTGTTTTCACAAAGCTTAATGAGACAACAGATGTGATAAAATATTCATTAGTTATAATTTATGACTAGAATTCAAAGTCAATCTGAGCCTTTCCAGATTTTGTAAAAATTACTTAAATTTTTGTACAAGTGGCGGCATGAAATTACAGAAGGCGGCAGCAACACGCCACATGGCAGAAGAAAGATTCTTCATTTTCAAAGGGAGAATTCCTCCTAGCAATCGAAAAGATTTTAGCCTTCGAATTGCTCTTTCCACATGAATTCGGAGGGAAGCAATCTTTCGGGTCTCTATTATTTGTTTGGAAGTAAGCACCCTTCCTACTCCATTTCTCCTCTCCCGTGTAAAAGGAGGCATGTTTAAGTATGCTCCTTTCAAAGTTAAAAGGTCTCGTATTTGAAATCCTCTGTCAGCCATTACTTCGTCACCGGGGCATACTCCACAGCTTTGAAACAAATGTAAAGGCACCATTTGGCTGGATAGCAACTAGAGCTTTAAGAGTATTGTGTGATATATAGTTGCTCCATGTACTTGCCTGAGCTGAACAGTTCTTTGGCTTCTGAATAAATATCTCCGTACAATCAATAATTGAGGTAGTGTTGGGATATTTGAGTTTAAATGACAAGGGCATATGCTTCTTGACTGTAGCACTAGATGGCCATTTGATCACCGACTGAAGAATTTGTGCAAGGAAATTAATCCACGTATTAAATAAGCCTGAAATATGTCCAGTAGATGTACCAAATAGCACAGACAGAGTGAAATTGTCTAAACCAAGTCTTAATTTCATCATAACTAGAACAAACTCTTCCAATATTGTAAATTTTATTTTTTTACCAGGTTTTACTTGTTTTTTTTCCTGCCAGTTCTTTGATCCGGACCGTCCTGCCCCTTCCAGAACGAGATTTTCCCATAGAATGGTGTAAGAAATTGTAAAAATGTTGCAAAAAAGCAAAGGGATGGTAATCCCAGGAAATGTTTAATGCTTTCATCTCCTTGCAATACTTTTTTCAGCAATTCTTCTCTGAGGATAACTTTCCTTGCCTTTAGTCTTTCATTTTCTTCCCATAGCCTTTTATTTTCCTTTTGGAGTTCTTCACATTCAGTCTGAAAATTTATTGCAATTATGATTTATCAGTTATTACCTACAAACCACCAAATCATCAGCAGTACATGCATTTATATTTTAGTGCATATTCAGTACTTTACTTACTTATGAATACATGTTCATATTTAAAAAAATGAATTTAGAAATGAGACATCAAGGTATATTAAATAGCATGGCCATTAAATCATTAGCTGTTCAATCTGATATCTCTTTTATCAATATTTACATCTTTGCAGCACTTACATGTGCAGTATTAAGGTGTTCTAATGTTCAATATTGAATAAGATGATAACAAAAAAGTGCCATCAATAGTAATATTATGTCATGTGTTGAATTTGAAATTTTCTTGTACATATGCATAATTAACTCACTTCTAAAACACTAACTCTCTGTATCAGTTCTTCTTCTCTACAATACTTCAGATCTGGATTGTGACAAGTGTAGTTATGATCTTGTACCATTTCAAACACTGAACAAACTTCACCAGTTTCTGAAATATTTACATGTGCATGTAATTGTCACACATTCATATCTAACAAGCAATATACTAGTATATATTTCCAGATGAGACTGTTCAAAATTACAATATTATGTATATTACAGTTTATATAAATATGTAAATGTTTTAATAAGTATTTTTTAAATATCATAATTTAATCATACCTTTTTCATTATTATTCTCATCTGTTACGTTGTCTGAAACGTCAATCTCGCCAGCAACATAGGGATAACATTTTTCAGAGAAACATTTAACAAGTTTCACTTTTTTACGAATTGGTTGATCGTTTGCAGTGCATTTTTCTTCAGTTGTTCTGCCCTGATGAGAGTTCTTGGTTTTTCTAGGTGTCTTTTGTTTATAATTATTGTAGGCAAAGAGAGTTGGCAGGGGGTTCTCAAATGTGGGCGGCCATCCACAAAATGTTTCGAACAAACGACGTTGTGTCGATTGTCAAGCGTGGGATCAACACTCAGCCCCTCTCGTCTGACTAACTTTAACCAGTTTTTTAGAGAAGATTCTACTTTTGGTAGATTGTAAAAAATAACATCTTTATCTTTTCTACTGTCTGATGTACACTCTACTGCAATGCAGTGCCTCACTGGCATCCTTTTTGAGTTTTAATAAGACTTCACATCGTAAACATTTCTTAGTTTACCGTTGTTATGTTTGTCCCGGTAATCTCGCGAGATTTCTAACTTTTCCTACTCTTTTACGAAAGAGCGTACTAAGAACCATAACTCTTCCGTAGTGGAAATAGAAAGTTACGCTAGGATTGCGGAATGGTTTCTTGTCTAACCAATTATGAAATAATTAATTTACTCCTAACAGAGACATATAAGAAATATTTTATGAAATTTAAAACTGATACAATTATTCCAAAGGTGTAATGTCAAAAGAAATCATATCCAAGATAATTTTTTTCATTCAAAATTGATAATCGAGTGAACGCGTTATAATATTCAGTTACCTGTGCAATTATAATCGGCGATAAATTTCAGTAATTTGGACTATCTCCGTATAATGTGAATATATAGTTGACAGAACAAGATGATAAGCAAAGAAAAGACAGGTTTTACATTGCTAACGGATCGAAAGAGGTAAAGGCTAAAATATGTCACGAGAAAGCAAAGAGTACAATAGCGGAAAGAAGCTGTATAATTCATGTAATTTGTCATCGGAAAGCACGATTTTCTCGCGGTAACTGTTTTGAATCGCGGAAAAGAGATACTGCGAGTCTCAGTCCTGTAGCTTTCCCTGAATATTTAGCAATAGCCACATGACTGGATGAGGGATGAGAATGAAGTGAATAGATCCCCTACCCTGACAACTATATGCATGTGAACAATGAATGATAGACATCGATGTTCTTAAACGCGCATACTAGTATACATATTTTCTCAAAACATATTAAAGATCTTATTTTATCTAAAAAGTTATTGAAACTTCAAATTTCTGGACGGGTTTGAAAACCTTTTTTTAAGGAGAGTTATCAAAAGGTGGAACAAAATTAATATCTAATCAAAGGCAGGAAAAATTAACAGTCTGTTGTGTAATTCAGTATTTTAGTCACGACGGGTATAAGTGAGGCCATTGGAAAGAGTGTGTCAAAAGTCATCTTGATTATTGTACAAGTTCAATTTGTGAAAATGCATATGCAAGGTCGTATCAATCAAATCCGACCAGAAATACATAGTTCCAATCACTTCAAAATTAAATAATGTTTTTATTATATTTTCGTGTGAAATTCTATTGGAATATATACACTTGAAGTCGTAATATTATACAGAAAAGTTGAGAAAATGTAGACTTCTAATCTGTCTAATCTATATGCACCATTAAGAAAACTTTAAAAAATTCTTTATCTTCAAACGCTAGTAATTATACAATTTGAAGGCTTGTCTAATTTTAATGTCTATTCAATGTCTATTCATTAAGAAAACTTAAAAAAATTCTTTATCTTCAAACGCTAGTAATTATACAATTTGAAGGCTTGTCTAATTTTAATGTCTATTAGTTTTATAAGCATTAATGTTATAATTTAAAGGTAAAATGGGAAATGCATGGGAAACATTCAATTTTCAAAGCAGTATGCAATATTCATTAACGTACGCTGCGCAAATTCATTAATGTAATTTTTTGGTACAAACATATTTGCTATTTGAAGACCCGGAAATTCCGGGGTACTTTTTTAAAGCTGTAATGGGTTATCCTTAAGTAATACCTATCATCTATGTGTCATGTAACTTATAGAATAATTTCAAGTATATGCTCAACTAGACAAATAGATCTTCATCTTTAGTAACATAGTGCTAAGATAATTTATGTTTATTTTATAGGTGTTATAGACTAATCCGTAATGTTTTAAAAGTGACTCATGACATATTTTATGGTTAACCATATATTACATTAAACTAGTCAGTAATTTTAATTTTTTCATACTATAATTAGAACTTCATAGACGAAGATAGATATCTCAGGTATTTAAATCACGTGACTTGGTAACAGATAAACATTTAGAATGAAGACAAGGAAGTAAATTGTGATGTACAGGATTATGAGGAAGGCAATGTTGGGTCGGTAGGTAAAACGGTATCACATTTAAGAACATGTTACCGAAACGTTACCAAGATGTAGTTGATTTAAATGTAGAAGAATACATTTATTGATGCATCAAAGAGTCGCTCTAGACCATAATGATTATATAATAGTAATAGCAAGGAGGTGCAAAGTCATTTTTTTCTGTGATGAAAAATTTAAAACGAAGAAAACGACAGTTCACCAAGGATTTTCTTGTAATTTCACAAGAAGGATATGGAGATAACGAACGGTATCCAAACGCAACGCAAGCAAAACTATTGACTTTCATATTGTTTTGTATTTAAAATTTGATTATATATTTTTTTTAAAGATAGGAACAGTTACTGTTTGTAAACGACATTGTACAAAAACATTCTTCTGTCATATCTTTATTGATTTTGTCTTTTGATTTCACAAAGAAATCAAAGCCATTACATTGTATTTGTTTAGAATTGCGTAATATTTCATGTCAGTGAACCATGCCTCTATTTACTTTATACAGGCTCCTCTAATTTCTTTTACCAAAAGCCCCCAGTGATGGACCCCCTGGACAGAGCTCAAGTACTCCTCCTCTGTGACCTGTGTCAAAGAGCAGCATTACAGAGTCACTGTGAACTTTGTCAAATTAACCTGTGTAAGGCCTGTGTAGGGGAGCATCTGTCTGATTCATCTAAAAGACATAAAGTTGTACCATACAAACAAAGAACATCTACTCCTAACGTTAACTACCCAAAATGTCCAAACCACGGCCAGAAACATTGTGAACTTTACTGTGAGAAATGTGACATGCCTGTCTGTTCTACCTGCATTTCCTCTGATAAACATCATGGGCATAAAATTAACAGATATCTTACAAAAACCAAGCTTCCTTCAAGAAATTTTAAATAATGATTTAAAAGAACTAGAAAAAAAATATATCCTACCTATGAAGAAATTGCATCAGATTTAAACTCTGAAAAAATTAACTTGGAAAAACATTATGCAAAACTGACAACAGCTGTCACCAAACAAGAAGAAGATTGGCACAGAGAAATTAACATTATTGTCAACAAACAGAAATCTGAAATTGATGAGATGAAATCTAAACACCTAGCTGCTCTAAGTAAACAGGAAAAAGATATAAAACAGATTACTTTCGATATAAAACAGAGCATAATTGATCTGAGGAAAATATTGGACACCAATGATGTCTCACTATCCACTGCTTACAAACGCAGGAATGCTGAATTCAGAAGTTTACCTCCTAAAGTCAGTGTTTCATTACCAAGTTTCTCTCCTCATCAGATCAACACAGAACAGCTTTATCAAATGTTTGGTTCTCTGTCAGCATTATCGATTACAACCGATGAACATGGTTACACAATGAAGACACCAGAAGCTGTATCCTGTCCTCCATTCAAACCACTGCTAGATGAACCAGAGCTTATCACCTCAATAGACACTGGGTATGACAGACTATACAGTGTTACCTGTCTCAGTGATGAAGAAATCTGGACAACTGGAGATGACAACATCGTGAAACTCTACAACCTCCAAGGTAAACTACTGAAATCAATGCAAACCAAGTCTGGGAACAGTCCACGTGACATAGCAGTGACAAGGAGTGGAGATCTAGTTTATACTGATCCTGATAAAAGAACTGTAAATATAGTGAAAAATTACCAGATACAGGAAGTGATCAGACTACAGGGGTGGATACCTAACTATGTCTGTAGTACCTCATATGGTGACCTCCTAGTTACCATGGTCAGTGATGATAAAGAACAATCAAAAGTTGTTCGTTACTTTGACTCCACAGAGATGCAAACCATTCAGTTTGATAGTGAAGATAAACCTCTGTATTCAACTAATTCCATTAAATACATCAGTGAGAACAGGAACCTGGATATCTGTGTGGCTGACTGTGAAGCCCATGCAGTAGTGGTTGTTAATCAGGCTGGAAAACTCCGATTTAGATACACTGGCCATCCTTCTCCTATCATGCGATCATTTTATCCGTATGGAATCACAACAGACAGTCAGAGTCAAATCCTGACAGCAGACCAATACAGAAACTGTATCCACATCCTAGATCAGGACGGACAGTTCCTCCGTTACATCCGTTATATTGAAAACTGTGATCTGAACAGTCCATCTGGTATATGTGTCAACACCAGAGACAACTTCTTTGTAGCCGAGTTAAGTGGTAATGTAAAGAAAATCAAATATATGTAAAAACAATTGTGTTATGAATAATGATATGTTTTGATAAACACTTTTTCCAATGTCAAAATCACAATAATTTATTGTTTCATTCAGGTTCTAGTACTTAAGTGTGTGCGAAGATGTGTGAAAATTAGAATAAAATACATAACATAACAGTGTAATTCAGGAAAATTTGAATAAAAGATTATCAACAACTGTTTCATTATTCTACCCAAAGATGGAATGACTACTCTATTATGACTTGTAATATTGGAAGAAACCTGCAATATCTCATGAGGAATGCTGTGTATAATTGTGAGTAGATAAGAAGACAAAGATTTTGATTGTGCACTTTTTTCAAGTCGGCCCTCTATCATGCATTGCACACTGCTATGTTTTGATTTTATTGTATTTTTGATGAAAGTTTGAGTAATATGCCCATAGATCTTAAATGCGATCGAGGGTACATGTGAATTAAAGCAACATATACATTCTTTCATGCTAGTTATTTGTTATTCATCAAAGGATTTTAGTCAATCAAAATAAATTAATTAAACACTTTCTTAGCATGTTACTTATAAACGCATTGCATGGGTGTGAGAAAATAAGATTTGACTTATACTAGTATATAACCTATATAAACATGAAAAATCTTATTTAGATGTTTAATGTTAATAAATTCACATACTCTTTTAAATACGTACATGGTCAAAACTCATTTTAACAGATATTAATAGGTCAATTTCCATGTGATATAAAGCTCAAAAAGTCCACTGTCAGTAGAACTTCAATAAAACCTTTACTTGATATACAGTATTTCCCTGAATGACTGTTTTAAAATCATATTCAAAGAAAACATCAATTGTTTCATAAAGGGGAGCCACATGTGTCTGTTTTTAGCTCACCTGAGCCGAAGGCTCAAGTGAGCTTTTCTGATCAAAATTTGTCCCTTGTCTGTCGTCGTCGTTGTAAACTTTTCACATTTTCATCTTCTTCTCAAGAATCACTGGGCCAATTTTGACCAAACTTGCTACAAAATTTGGGTAAAGGGAATTAAAGTTTGTTCAAATGAAGAGCCACGCCCTCTTCCAAGGGGAGATAATAATGAATTAGTGAAAATTTAATGGAATTTTTAAAAAAAAAATCTTCTTCTCAAGAACTACTGGGCCAGGAAAGATACAACGCATGTGTAATAATCTTCAGGTAGTGTAGATTCAAGTTTGCTTCAAATCATGACCCGGTGTAGGGTGGGGCCACTATGGCCGATCACAGTTTCACATAGGTATATATAGGAAAAATCTTTAAAAATTTTCTTCTCAAGAACCACTGGACCTGGAAAGATGAAACTCATGTGTAATCATCTTCAGGTAGGGTAGAGTTGAGTTTGTTCAAATCATGACCCCCGGGGGTAGGGCGGGGCCACAATGGCCGATCAAATTTTTACGTAGGAATATATGGGGAATTTTTTTTTAATCCTTGTCTCAAGTACTTCAAAGTCATGATTAGTGATATTTATATGGAATCACCTCCTTATTGTAGATTTTAGTTTGTTCAAATCAACCCCCCCCCCTTATGGAAAGGGTGGTGCCACAAAGGTCGATCAAAGTTTTACTTATAAAAATAAAGGAAAATAGAATAACGGAAAAATTCCAAGAACAGAAAAGCTATGTTTAGTCATATTGACATGTAAGCATCCTCCTGTATTGATGATTTAAATTTGATCATATCATGCCCTCATGGGGTACGGAGGGTAGGACACCCCCACCCCACCCCACCCCCATAAACTTTTCAGTTCTGACCTGATCTGTGCTTTTTACTTGACGATGTGCTCAGGTGAGCGATCTGGCCCCTGGGCCTCTTGTTATAAGTGATCATCTCCCTGTGTTGAGCCTCAATAGTTTTCTACATGTATCTCTACTTATGACGGCCTCTAAAAGGCAGCAGTGGGTCCTGGACTTACAGTATTCCTAAACAAACAAACAATTCATTTATGCAAAATTGTCAGAGTTAGATGATGAAACAAGTATGGAACATTTAAAGTATTTTAAAACCCCCTTTAAAAAGCTTGGTGGCTGTGGTATCAAGTTAAGGGTATGTTTGTCCAGTCCATCTGACTGTCTACCCATTACACATTTGTGGGAACCATTTTCTTATCAAAAACTCCTCCTATAGCACTATTTTTCTTGGTAAATCTTATGTATCTTTTTGAGGATTTTTTGAGGATTTAGTCGTGTATTTCACCTGGTAAATCTTTTGTATATATTTTAAGAGTGAGTAGTGTATTTTAAGGCCGTATAGTCGATGAGATTTGTAGCATAATACAAGTATTATAAGACTTTTGTATTATAATACATTCTTGTACTCACGCTAATACATATCTTATAAGATTGTAAATAAACTACATATTCCCACGTGTTTTCCCCCGCCATATTTCTCTCTCTCTCTCTCTCTCTCTCTCTCTCTCTCTCTCTCTCTCTCTCTCTCTCAAAATAATAAAAATGGAGGATGAGGTTCTGATAGCAGTGTCTATCATCGTTCTTGGCACTGCCCTGAAACTAAAAAAGAAAAGAACAAGGAAAAAGAGAGTCTGGGTAAGACCGTGGATCCAGAGGCGGAGAATACATGGTGCACATAATGCACTGCTAGCTGAGTTGCAAAGAGAAGACCCCAGCAGTTATAAAAACTTCTTGAGAATGGATAATGCAGCATTTGAGGAACTTTTACAATTAGTTACTCCTTTGATCAAACGGAAGGACACTTTAATGAGAGATTCAATACCACCGTCTGAACGATTATCGTTGACACTCATATCCCTAGCAACAGGTTATGGTTATTCTATTACATAAATGTTTCATGAAATACAAGAGGCTCAAGGGCCTTGAATCGCTCTTCTGATAAATTGTACAACCTATCCCTTCTATTTGAAGCCTCTAACCCTAAGTATCCTAAGACCCAAGTTGCATCAGCTGACAAACTTTGATGATTCTTAGCTAATTATGACTGAAGATATTTTAATAAAGCTTTTAAAAAAAACATAAGTAGGTCACAGTGACCTACTTTAAGATTAGAGTTTTCTAAGGACTCGAGATGTATTAATAGACAAAGACTGAAGATTCTAAACCAAGAAGTATTTGAGATATTAAAAAGTAGGTCACCGTGTTTACTTTTTCGTCTACATTCTTGGAAAACCCAAAATGCATCAACTGACAAAGTTTGATTTATTCAAGCCAATAAGTACTGGAGATACTTAAATATAGCCATGAAATGTTAAAAGTAGATCACTGTGACCTACTTTTTAATAGGCGATTTTTCGAAAGGCAAAAATACATCAACTGACAAAGTTTGATGATTCTAAGCCAAAAAGTACCTAAGATATTCAAAAGTAGGTAACCGTGACCTTCATTTTGGTTAACACTCCGAAAACCCAAGATGCATCAACTAACAAAGTTTGATGATTCTAAGCCAATACATGTAAGTACCAAAGGTCCTTAAATAAAGCAATAAAATGTCCAAAGTAGGTCACCGTGACCTACTTTTTAGTCGTCACTCTTCGAAAACCCAAGATGCATCAACTCACAAATACCTAAGATACTTAAATAAAGCCATAAAATGTCAAAAGTAGGTCATCGTGACGTACATTTTAGTCGACATCTTTTAAAGTTCCAAGACGCATCTGCTGACCAAGTTTGATGATCGTAGGTCTGAAGGTAATCAAAAAATGCCTTTAAACAATTTGAAAACATATGCCTGCAAAATTCAAAAAGTTGGTCACAGTGGCCAACTTTTTCATAAATATGTAAGGTCCCAAGATGCAGCAATTTACAAGATTTGATGATTCTAACCCTCTCAGTGTCTGAAATAATGGGATTAAATGTTTCAAAAAGGATAAGTCACAGAGTGGCCTAATTTTAAGTTGACGTTGTTCAAGGACCCAAGATGCATCAACTAGCAAAGTTTGATGATCATAGTCCTTAAAGTGTCCAAAATATGCATTCAAATCAATTTGAAAACAAATGCCCGCAAAATTAAAAAAAATAGGTCATTGTGACCTACATTTGAGTTAACATGATGTGAAGTCCTAAGATGCATCAACTTAGAATATTTGATGATCCTTATAGTAAGCAAAATATAAATGTTTGTATGAATTGTAAATTTAGGTCAACTTTGAAGTGACCTTGAGACCACGCCCTTTGCCCCAGGGTCATTCCTTAAACAATTTGTAATTTTCGACATATCCTAATCCTTGTATGTAAGTTTGGTGAAAATCTGCCAAGTGGTTCTGGAGAAGAATTTTTTTTTAGCAACCAGGACTGAGTTGCTCAAAACACTGGGTAAATTTGTCCAGTGGATAAGTTAGCCGTTGGTTAAATTCAATATCTACTGGGTAACTAACCACTGGTCAAATATTTGTTGCTCAAAATAAAATTAGCCTCTGGTTAGCTAACCACTGGTCAAGTGATTTAACCAGTGGTTAGTATCCCACAATGCATTACATTTGTCCGTCTGTCACCACAAAAAAAACATGGCTTCAAACAGTGTCAACAAAAAAAGAAGTGAGAATTTTTCAGCTGATGAAACTTTATTTTTGGTGGAACAGGTGGAAAAACATATTGAGCTTATAAAATCGAAACATACAAACCAAGTAACAAATGTAAAAAAGGCAGCTGCCTGGCGTGAGATTACGGAAGCGGTAAATTCTAGGGGTGGGGTTTTGAGAACTGTCGATCAAATCAAGGAGAAGTATAGAAAGGCTTGTTCCAAAGCGAAGGGGAAATCGTCAGTCAGAAAACGCATCGCATGAAGACCGGTGGTGGTCCACCTCCACCCCCAGTTGATGCCATTTCACAGAAAACTCTGGACGTATTCCAAGACGCCCCAAATTTCGTTGGCATTGAAGGAGGGGTCGAAGTTGGAGGGCTTCTTTTTGAAGGTACTTTTCATATTTCTGAAATAGAATTAAAAAAAAAACAATAAGCAGGTCTACATAACGTTTACATTGCACAACGAGGAAATTCGAAATACTGCAGCCC